CTTTCTCGTGATTTTTGTTTTGAGGTAGCCCCAGACCGGCATTGAACTCACGGTGATCTTCTTGCCTCATCTTCCCGAGTACTGGGAGTGTAACTGAGTACCACCGTGCCTGGCTAAGTATTGAGTTTTAGTAGCAAAAGGATGCATGGCCAGATCAGCAGCAGGGAAAGGAATTCCCAGTGAAGTTCAGAGGAGGCAGCCACAAGTTCCCAGAGTTCTCTCCAGGGGCCACACAGGCTGTGTATATTTATTTAGTATACATGCAGTTCTAGGCTTCTAAACCAGAAACAGGTGTTCAGGGCAAACCATATTGGTGGTACAGTTTAGGCATCGTAAATCGCTCAGAACTTAGCCTGCAAGCCAACATGCCAGCCAGAAGCCAAGGGGCAGACATTGTAAGCAGAATAGTTGGCTTGTTACGCTAATGCTTTTTTGCACAATAGTTTTGTTTAAAAAAATTCATACTTGAGCCAAGTAATATTCCTATGATTAATTCCAAGAAATATGAATAGGTCTTTTTCTTGGACAACTTTCCCCCGAAGTCAACAATTGCTTCATTTAGGTTATTGTTATTGTGTCCAGTTGCTTAATTTTGTGTGGTGACTATTACTAATTATTCTCTAAAAACTCTAAAAGAATTGTTAAGAGAGTTGCGAGCAGTGTGATTGAAAGGTAATCTGGGGCCATATTGTAAGAAGTCTTCTGTGCCATGTGCTGCGGTTGGATGTCAAATTCATGCAACTGCAATCCTAACCACCAATATATTGTTATTAGTAAGGGGGTGCAGACTTTGGGAGGTAATTGGGTCACCTTGAAGAAGAAGAAAGGAGCGTGAGGCGCCCCATTCTCACAAGTACTTGATGCTGGGCAGTCTTGCCAGAAGTGGAGAACTTGGTGTTGAGAGCAGCAATACCCCTTCACATTTAGGGCTATATCCCTTTCCTGGAAAAACTTAGACTTTATGTCACATATATAGTATATCATGTAAATATGACATATATGTTATATATGAGCATATACATATGTCATATATATGTGTTACATACGACCAAAAATACATAAACAGCACCTCATATGGCCTACATTGGCCTCAAATCCATTATGTAGCCAAGACTGACCTTGAACACCTAATCCTCCTGTATAGGCATGTACTACCATGCCCAGGTAATGCAGTGCTGGCACAGAGCCCAGGCCATGCCAGGCGATCCCTTTACCAGTGATGTCACATTCCCAGATACACTTATGCCATTTGAATCTCCCCTGAAACTTAAGATCAACTCCTAACTGGGAGTCTCTGGATAAAAGAAAATTATATGCTTCCAAGTTCATATAAGATGGTGCAGAGTAAGCACCCCACTCTAAACAGAAGACATACAGGCACAGGAAGGTGAATTGGAGACAAAACAGTAAGACCCAACAGCGGCAAAAACATTTAATCCTTTAACTTCATATTGATATCCAGGGCACATGATGGTGTGAGCTGTGATCTGCTTAGGCAACCCCTCTGTCCCAGTCTTACCATTTAACACACAGCCTCTCTCCAAGGCTGGCTCCTCTCATTGCCCAGGGCTTTCTCCATACATGTTCTGTGTTTCTGATCTTTCTAATATCCAGAGTCTCCATTACAGCTTCAACCTCACCGTCGTAGTTTCATTGATCGTCCACTCAGGGGAAGCCAGCACAGACACTGGCCTACTCCATGTTCTTTGCCTAGTCTCCCAAGTTTTCCATCGACACCTGAATAGAAACCTCCATGACCCATAACTCCTGAATTCTGCGTTCTCTAAAGCAAGCATCCCATGGACCAGCCACTACCTTGAGCACTAGCCTGCCCCCACTTGGACTATGGCTGTTATGGCCTCTGGGTTCCTAAGCAGTTGAACGTGGTGAAGTAAATCACAAAGAAACAACTTCCTGGGTAGTCTTATGCCAGCAGGGTACCAATGGGGCTCTCTTCTCAAGGGGGTCTTTTAAATGAGTTTATGCTTTTCTGCCTTTGAGGCTGTACATGGGTGGGGTCTTGTTTACTACTGACACACCAACTCATTTCTGGTTATCCCAAAGAATGAGACTTTTTTGTTAATGATGCTAATCTCTTCAGAAACCACATTGTCCTTTAGACCCAACTTGATTTTGACTTTTCTGTTCAAGCTGCAAGATTTAGAAACCTTTCTGCTCTGTTTTTGTTCCCATTATCAATTAAACTTGACTAAAAGCAGCTAGCAATGGCCATGCAAATACCCAATCCTGGTCTGCCTTGAGATTTCCTTTGCTATATCTTTAGTTAGCCCCAAAAAAGCCTTGAGAGAATAAATGAAATATAGCCAAGTTCTTTGCTGCAGTTCAGAATTCAGCATGGCCCGTAGTAAGATTCTCAATAGAGTCTTCATTCACACCAGAACCCTTAGAGGCACCCCTCCTTACGTCTATATCCTGTCAACATTTTCATCTTCTGAGTTCTGCAAGAATTGCCTATCAAGCTAAGTTTACAGCATTCCAGGGATTTTCTAGCTCACATGCCCAAATCTCCCCAAGTTCATCTTTAAGACTCATTTCAAAGGTGTTTGGACCACACTATTGGGAAGAATCACAGCATCGACCCCAATTCTCGGCTACCGATTTCCTACATTTGTTAGAATTTCTGTCGTCCTGATGAAATGTCTGAGAACATCAACTGAGGGAGGAGGAAGCACTGGCTTTGGCTCTCAGTTCAAGGGGGTTCAGTCCACGGTCTGCTGGATCCACGGCTTTGAGCCTGACGCATCATAGTGACGAGAGTTTCCGGCAGAGCCTGCCCACCTCATGGTAGCCAGGAGGCAGAGAGAATATCAGGAAAAGGCTAGGATCAGGGGCCAAGATATGCTCTTCAAAGACACATCACGGCTACCTTCCCACTATCTACCACTTCTCAGTAATCTATCCCAATTCTGAATCTATCAGTAAGTAGACTATTGACTAGGTAAGGGCTCTCATGACCTAATTATCTCTGAAAATGCCCTCAAGACACACCCAAAAGTGTACTTAACACACCTCCTGGGGTTCTTCCAATCCAGTCAATCAATAATCAATATTAACCACAATATCACAACAAATCAAGGAAATAGGATATTATAAATACCTTCCTTTTACAAAGAAATGTTAAGGAATTAATTTAGTCCTAAGTCCCTAGACTGGCAAGTATCAGAGCTTGGATTTGAATCCAGGTGGCCATATCACAGAGCCACATGACTCTCCATGTGGCGTTCCTCATCAAATCTTATTAGAGTCGTGACTGCTTGAACTATGGGTAGCAAACCCACAGCTCTGACAGCAGTCAATGGAGTGGCAGAAACAGCCATGCCAAACCAGGACAGAGGTCGTTAGGCAGGTTACAAAGAACATAGTAGAATTCAGAGAAAAGAGTGGACACCTGAAATCATACTGCCTGAATTTGTCTGAACTGAGGCCATAGCAGCATGGAGCTCTAGAAGGGGTTGTGAAGGAGAGAAATGAATTATCAGCCAAGAGCATCAGCTGAGGTGCACAGAGAAAAGACAGAGAATGTAACAAAGTAGATTGTCATGGTGGAGGGTGTGAGAAACAGCTCAAGTGAATTCTAGGGGCAAGAATATAGAGACCCCATTTGGTTTTATGGTCCTAGTCCCGGATGCCCAGGAAGTCACTCTACTAAGGCTAGGATGTTTTGGATAGGAGGAAAACACTCCACAGCAAGGTGTCTGGGTTCTGTTCATGGCAGCCCATCTGAGGGCATTTCTAGAACTCTCTTAAGGAGTTGAGGAGGTTTATTAGAATCTAGAGACAAGTAAATTTCAGGGAAAAGTCCCTCTCTCTGTACACCCCCACATCAGATCTCCCTCTCATGTACTATCAAGAAAATATTATTTCAATAAAAGTTCTTTTTTTGGTAGAGGGAAACAAAGTAAAGTTCAGTGTCTATGTGAAAAAAACATTTCTTTTTGAAAAAAAAAATCATTTTTGTGTGTTTGTATGTGCATATGCTTGTGCATCAGTGTATGTATGCGTGCATGC